TAGGGTGTGACCTGGAGCCCATGTTCTTACCCCTCCCCTTTCTTCTCACCCCAGGCGATACACAAGGTTCTTTGGCTCAGATGGTGATGCAGCACCCGCCCTTAGTCACTATGCACTGTGCCAATACGCAGACTGGGAAGAGAGGATCTCAGCTTGGCAGAGCCCAGTATTGGATGACAGGTGTCAATGGGGCCATCTCTTCCCTTCCTCCCAGGCACTCACACTCCAATTGGGGCTCCTTAATTCACTCTCCACCCACCAAAGTCAGCAGAGTAGAGCTGGGATTCACTTGGTGCCCCCACTCAACTGAACCCCAGAGTCCTTCCTTTCCTGGGAGGTCCACACTTATTAGACCACTCCCTCCTGACTCCCCAGGTCCCTGCCTGCCTGGTACAAATCTGCGCTCTTCAATGAACTCTACTTCCTGGCTGATGGAGGCACAGTATGGCTGGAAGTTCCTGAGGACTCCCTACCAGAGGAGCTGGGAGGGAACATGTGTCAGCTCCGCCCCCTCCTCACGGAGTATGGTCGATTTGGCTACCTTGAAGGTACGAGCTGCTGGTGGCCATAGTATGGCAGGCCGTATCTGTGAGGCCAGTTAGTGCCCTACCACCAGGCAGGACGGTGAGTGTTGCCTGCCCAGGTCATTGGTTGGGATGAGGGGTAACTGGCAGGTATAGAGTGTGACAGTGCCCCACCCCCAACTCCAGAGGACAAGCTAGGTAGGGAGGGGAATACGAAGAGGAATTCTGGCAACAGTGTGTATCCCTCCTTCCTCCAGGCCAGGAATATCGCATGTACAACACATATGATGTCCACTTCTACGCTTCCTTCGCCCTCATCATGCTATGGCCCAAACTCGAGCTCAGCCTGCAGTATGACATGGGTGAGGGTCTCTTTTGTGCCTCTTCTGCCCCCTTAGCTTCTCCTGACCCCTGAACCTTTGTGGTCCCTCACATTGTCTTTTCCCCCCATCATAACCTATACCCTATTTACTGGTTTCCTTCTGGGGTCACACACAGCTCTACACCACCCCAAGGAGTATGGTCGATTTGGCTACCTTGAAGGCCAGGAATATCGCATGTACAACACATATGATGTCCACTTCTACGCTTCCTTCGCCCTCATCATGCTATGGCCCAAACTCGAGCTCAGCCTGCAGTATGACATGGCTCTGGCCACACTTGGGGAAGACCTGACATGGCGACGGTACCTGATGAGTGGGGTAATGGCACCTGTGAAAAGGAGGAATGTCATCCCCCATGATATTGGGGACCCAGATGACGAGCCATGGCTCCGGGTCAATGCGTATGTGATCCATGATACTGCTGACTGGAAAGACCTGAATTTGAAGTTTGTGCTGCAGGTTTATCGGGACTATTACCTGACAGGGGACCAGGGCTTCCTGAGGGACATGTGGCCTGTGTGTCTGGCCGTGATGGAGTCTGAAATGAAGTTTGACAAGGACCAAGATGGACTCATTGAAAATGGAGGCTATGCTGACCAGACCTATGACGCTTGGGTCACCACAGGCCCCAGTGCTTATTGTGGAGGACTGTGGCTGGCAGCTGTGGCTATGATGGTCCAGATGGCTGCTCTGTGTGGGACACAGGACATTCAAGATAAGTTTTCTTCCATCCTTAGCCGGGGCCAGCAAGCCTATGAGAGACTGCTATGGAATGGCCGCTATTACAACTATGATTGCAGCTCTCGGCCTCAGTCCTGTAGCATCATGTCTGACTAGTGTGCTGGCCAGTGGTTCCTGAGGGCTAGTGGCCTAGGAGAAGGAGAAACTGAGGTATTTCCTACCCAACACGTGGTTCGTGCTCTCCAAACTATCTTTGAATTCAATGTCCAGGCCTTTGCAGGAGGGACCATGGGGGCTGTGAATGGGATGCAGCCCCAGGGTGTCCCTGATAGATCCAGTGTCCAGTCTGATGAAGTCTGGGTGGGCGTGGTCTATGGGCTGGCAGCCACCATGATCCAGGAGGGCCTGACTTCCGAGGGCTTCCAGACAGCTGAAGGCTGCTACCGTACTGTGTGGGAGCGCCTGGGCCTGGGCTTCCAGACCCCGGCGGCATACTGCCAAAAGCGAGTGTTCCGCTCTCTGGCCTACATGCGGCCACTGAGCATCTGGGCCATGCAGCTGGCCCTGCAGCAGCAGCATAAAAAGGCTGAGCTCCAAACATCCAGGGCACAGGACTAAGCACAGGGTCTAAACTCGGACCAAAGGAAGTCATGGCAAACCCAAGTCCAGAGTGAGCCCCCTGAACTATGGGAGGGAGGCACTAACATAAATCCCACATGGCATTTGCTCTTCCCTAGCCCCCGTCTTCTGCAACCCTGAGCCACTAGGACAATCATGCTCCCCTCCCCTTCTCCCCACCAACTCACACCAGTAAAGGGGTCGAGGGTAACCCAGGCATCAGAATCACTTATTTATTTCCTCATCCCATCCCCTCACTGCATGAAATGTTCAAGGTCAATTGATTCCCCCAGGTCCATTCATGGGGTGATAGACATACATGGGTACAAATAAAAGACCCAGAAAGATAAAAAAAAAAAAAAAAAAAAGAGCACGGACCTGGGTTGCAGGTTTGATCCCCAGCCCTGGTCGCAGCACTTGCAGGAAGCAACCAATCGATGTGTCTCTCTAACACTGATGTCTCTCTCTCTCTCTGATCCTCTTTCTTCCTCCCTGCAACTGTCTCTCTAAAAATCAATGGAAAAAAATATCCTCAGGTGAAGATTTAAAAAAAGAAGTTTGTATCTTTGGAAAAAGAGCAATCTATTACCCACAGCCGGGATCAACACTACGATCACATGACACGGTGTAAACATGCACACAGCTCTCCACGGACTTGTTTCTCAATCTACTTCTTATTTGGGCTATAATACATTTAAAGGTAAGAAATTTTAGGTCAAATTGGGTTAGATCACACCGTAGCTATCAGAAGAAAGTTCCATATACTATGTACTGCGATGGGCTCCTAGCCTTGGATTTAATACTAAAATGACTTGACAATGGCTTTCTTCTCTGGGTGGGATGGTAGGTGTCTCGTCTGTTCCCATTACTGACAGAAACAGGTCACTCGTGAGCCACCCAGGACACCTCAGTTATGGAAAGACCTCACTCAGATGCTGCCACCTGACCAAGATCCCTGCCACCCGACTTCCCGAGTCTTGTGTTTCACTCGCTGAAGGCAAGCTCGGGCCGTGCCCACGTCCTGCAGCGAGTGGCCCAGGAGTTCAGAGGCCTCGCTTCACAACCAAGTATGCTGGTAACAGACCCATAACAAGCCCTCCACTCAGCCCAGGTTTCACCAGAGCATGGGGGCTCCTGGGGCGTCAAGGTGGCAGGGGGCACAGACCTAGCACCTCCATTCGCAAATACTTGTCAGAGCACCCACCTTGCAGTGAGGAGCCTAAAGGCTGGGGTGGGGGCTTCTCCAGGGCAGGGGTCCTGTCGAGGGACTGGCTCCTCCTTGCAAGGCCTGCCCTCTTGGCGTAGCTCAGTGCTTCTCAGTGCTGACACACGGCGCACGGGAAAGCCCTGACAGGCTGGCTACAGCGCACTGCTAGGGAGCCCCAAGTGCGGCCCTCCTACCTGTGAAAAATAAGTGCCTCTTTGTGGTTTCCTTTCTCTTCTCTAAGCAGGGGTTCAGCAGGCGAAGCAGCTGCAGCACGCGCTCCTCCCTCCGCGACTCTGTCAGGCAGGCGTCGTTCATGACCAGGTACGGGTAGATCTTGCCGTTGTGCCCGCGGATGTACAGCCTCCTGGCTGCGGTGTTGTGCTTCTGCACAATTTCCACCCTGGGCATAAACCTACCGGAACACACAAACGCTCTCAGTCTCAATTTCCAATCCTTTCCTTAGAAAAGTAAAGGGAGCTTTCCAAAAGCACTGGTAGAACTGTCATGGGAATTAAGACGCGTAGTTACCACATTTGTTCACTCACACCCCACCCTTGTTCTGACAAGGTGTAAATAGTGCAATTATATCAAAAACCAGGGAGAAACCACGGCAGAGGGAAAACAAAAAGCAGGAGGATGAAGCTGGAGCTTCAAAAGAATCAAACCAGGGGTCCGACTCCAGGAGCTAGCTGTGGGTCGCTGCTCTGGCCCTGAGCACCACAGCGGCACAGGGAGGGCCCAGCTCCGGCCTCTGGGGGAGGGACAGCCCTGCCTGGCACACGCAGGTGCCCCGAGGAGCAAGCGAGGGACTGACACACTCCTGCCCTCACCTCCTCACCCTGGGCCTCGGCCCCGATACAGGTCAGAGAGGAGGGCGCTGGCCAGGCCCCAGGCAGGTCTGGGGGAAGGAAGACTGAATTCTGACGGTGGAAAAGCAGAGCTCTGTGTCTGAGTTAGAAATAACAGGAAGCACCTGACTATTTGTTAAGGGAGCCTCTCCACAGAACTCTTTACATTTCAAATGAGATGCAACACACTCCACTGCATTCCACTGCATCTGGTGCTGTCTGAACACTGGGCTGTAAGTGTGAACAAAGACACGGGAACTTTATTTCGTCAAGTTCTATGGGGAGTCGGAAAAGCTTCTTTGGAAGCAAATACAAACTTGACTCAAACAAGACACTGAAGCCATCAGTCAGACCCTTTCAGGGCTGGTCACTGAAATCCTGGGACAGTCTTGTTTTCTGAGCGCGGCACCAGGCCTGCCTGCAGGCCTCTGCGGGCAGGGGATGTGCCATGATCGAGCCAGGCCCCGCTCACTCACCGAGCGATCTTGATATAATAGTGCGTCGGCTTTGGCATCAGGAACTCCCCTGGGATTTCCACTTCAGCTGTCTGCGCGGAGAAATTGCTCAAAAACCGACACTTTTCTTCTATGAGGAAGAATTTTGGAAGTTGCTTGGTTTTGGCCTCCAGAATTTTGATCCACTTTTTCAATTTAGAAATGAGGTTATGAAGCTTCATGGATCCTGGAACACTGAAGTCAAAATCTTCAAGATAAAACACGAATAAGCATTTCAGTCATCGGGCTCTTCCAATTCATCCCCAAGCCACTGCTCTGCGCCTCCCAGCTGGGAACAGTCTGCATCAAGCCCCAGAAGCCCTCTTGCTCTTTCTCGTGGAAATTGGGGCCTGAGACAGAGCGAAGCCCTTGGTGTGGCCGGCTCTCCAGTGCCACACGGACCTCACCCCAATCATGACCTGTCCTCTTCAGGAAGGATGGGGGGACCCCCGGGGACCCCTGCATAAACGTCTCAGCATGGAGCCCCCCCATCACCACTAAAAGGTGCCGGAAGCCTGCCTGCCACCACTAGAGGTCACCTCAGGCCTGTGTGAACGCGAACACAGCACCAGGCGGCCCGAAGGAGACAATAACCAGGAGGAGAACGAGTTATACATCAGTTCCTCAGAAGGAATGAAGGCAAGAAATCAAAATGACAGAAATGCAAAACATGCACTTTTCACTTAAGCAAAAACACTCTGGTTCTCAGAGTTTATTAAGACTTAATAATAAGAGGTCAATTAGCCCTAACCGGTTTGGCTCAGTGGATAGAGCGTCAGCCTGAAGACTGAAGGGTCCCAGGTTCGATTCCGGTCAAGGGCATGTATCTTGGTTGTGGGCACATCCCCAGTAGGGGGTGTGCAGGAAGCAGCTGATCAATGTTTCTCTCTCATCAATGTTTCTAACTCTCTATCCCTCTCCCTTCCTCTCTGTAAAAAACCAATAAAATATATATTAAAAAAAAAGAGAGACATCAATTCATGGACAGTGGTGGAGGGGGTTCTCGACACCCTAACCTGCCAGAGCCCAAAGGTCAGGAAAGCCAACGGTTTCTGCTGGAAACGGGTCCGTGAGAGCCACGGGGAGGCACTGTCGCGCTGACAAGGACCGATGGATCCTGAGGCCAAACGAGGCGGCCCGTGACGGCAGAGGCACCTTCACACACAAGCTGGAGGCAGCGAGGGTGCCAAGTCTCTCCAAGCCTCTCCCAAACACTCTCCTCTGCCCAGTTAGGTCATGTGGGGTGAGCCGGGCTGCCCTTCACTCTGGGGGAATGTGATGGGCTGTTTCTAACTTTCTCCCACCGCCTTACAGGCGAACACAGCGCTGGAACAGAGACGGTCTTCCCCGGCGCAATGAGCAGAGCGACCGGAGGCCTCTGTGCCAGGGCCTGAAACTCACTGCAGTTAAGGTGGCTCAGAGCCTGACAGCCTCCTTTAAGTTCTTCTCTCCCCCTACCCCCCAAATCCAGAAGACTTGTCCCACTTCACATCTTTATTTCAGACTGCAATTGATTTAATAATCTGGAATTTTAAGATGAAGACATACTGAATATCACCTCTTTTAAGTAAAATAGGACAGCTTCCATGAACTCGAACCTGAAACCCTTCCTTTCCTAGAGAAGGATGGCAGACCACACGTCACACGGACTTTACAGAGAAAATCTGAGGATGGGAGCCCTTCAGTGTAAAAGCTCTGAGAGGGCAGGACTCTTATTTTTCGGAGAGCACTTTCCTCCAGGGGTGGTTCTTCAGAGGAAGCTCTCAGCCGTATGCCCAGCTCACACCTCGAGAGCGGGACGCCAGCCCAGGGCGCCCGGAGTGATGATGGGACAACACACGCTGGGCTTCCCATGGGCCTCAGGTCAGTCCTGCCTACAGCTGCACAGTGTCCTTTGCAATTAGTGGGGCAAATAGTTCCTCTTATATATATCACTGCAACCTACTTTACAGAGATACATGTTTTAACTATGCTCTCTGAGATATAAATCTTTTAAAAAGATACTTAAATATATAAAAAATGTGAACCATTTATTCTATGGTTTAACATGTCAATTAAGAAAGAATTTCTTGTTGTTTGTTAATCCTCACCCAGGGATATTTTTTCCATTGATTTTTAGAGAGAGTGGAAGGGAGGAGAGGAGAGAGAGAAAAAAAAAACATCAATGTGGGAAAGACACATTGATTGGTTGCCTCCCGCACGTGCTCCGACTGGGGCCAGGGATCAAACCTTCAGTCCAGGTATGTGCCCTTGACTGGGAATCAAACCCACAACCCTTCAGTGCACGGCCAACACTCTAACCACTGAGCAACACTGGCAGGACAAGAAAGAATGCCTTAAAGATGGTTACAAAAGCAATAATTAAGCTGAAATGTTTCTTTTGGCTTTGGGAAATTTTACCAGGCAAGTCTTGTTTTCGTGTAATAATCACTCATGGGTTGACACTCAGGACTTATAAGCCTGCAGAAGTTCCTCAGGCTCAAGTCTGGGACTGGTGCTCCTGGGGGGAGAGCCCACCCCAGACAAGTGGGAAGGAGGCAGAGCAGACTGGGAACGAATGCTCTGAGATCCAGGGGACGCATACCTGCACGTGCTGAGGGACGAGGACCCCAATCTGACAGATGGAGACAGGCTAAGGGACATTGGACATTTACCTCAGATCATGCAGAACATGGTGGAGCCAGAACTCATGCTCCCACAGGTCTGGGAAAATGCATGAATCTGAACCTGAACAACCTCCCTATCACTGTCCACCAGAATGCCTACCAGTGTGAACTTTACTTGTCACCCTGAGCCTTGCACCTTTGAGTCTCACTGTTGAGTTTTCCCATAAAGACCAAGTGGAGGGAGGGATCAAGGAGCAGGAGAAGGGTCTGCCTGAAACCATCCTACTTCTAACCCCAGAGGTGGAGCCTGGTGCTCTGGCTCCAAACCACAACCCTTCACTGGAAAGAAGGACATGCAGTTGCAGGCTGGTGAGCCTTAAGCTTTCTTGTGATGAGTCTAAACATTATAACCAGCTCGCCCAGTACAGTGACAAGACAATTAATGAAAAATGAACAAATAAAAATAAAATGAATGAATGCAATCATCTTCTATGCTAAAGCCCAAGGAAAGACAGTGCGTGGAACGTTCCCAGTGCAGGAAGAACAGAGTGAGACTCACCGGTGGTGAACTGGCCCTTCAGCTTCTGGAAGACAGGGTCCTGCGCAGTGGCCTGTGCCCGCCTGGCTAGGGACTCGGAGGCCGCGCTGGAGAACATGGTGGAGACGTTGGAGACGTTCTCCAGGCCCACCCCGAACGTGCTCACCAGCTTCTTGACGAAGTTCAGAGTGTGGGGGGTGATTTTGGCATCGGACACCGCTCCGCTTTTCTCAAATGCGACAGAGTAGCATTTTGCCAGGCCCTGTTGGAGCTGCCTGAGAACCTAGTGGAAAGAGACCAAACACCATTCACAAAAGAGAGCTCTTGATTCGAGCAGCTACCCCACCACCTCCAGGGCGATTTCTGTGGCACAGTCGGTGTAAAATCATGTGAGCTCCACACAGTGAGCTGTGTTTCTAACAATGCGGAGTGTCCTGAACATTTTAAAGAAACAAAACAAAAAACACTTTTTGAGTCATGTCCATCCCCTTCAGTTGATTAACCACGGGAAAACCTCATCCGGATGCTGTGTCACTGCTGCACGTCTGTGTGTGCACACAAAAGAACACTGTGATAACAGCTAGAAAAATACCTGGACAGTAAAGGCTGATTATCTTATCATCAGTACACAAACACCACTGAGGGGTGGCCCGCTGCTGAGAAGGTCACTGAAGAACCACCTTCTGCCTCTGGGGATTACTGCGGTCAGTTACCTACACCACCGTGCCTGCTCGCACCGGCCACTTGCTGCCTGGCAATTCATGGCATTTAAGTGACTGGGCTCATATGAATAAGCAAAGTAAGCACTGTGAGGGCAGAAGGTTTTCTCAATTTCACCCTCATTTGAAATCTCCCACTTCAAATAGTTAAGGCCACACTAGTGCGCAGACATTAACTCTTTGCCAACTCTATCATTCAACTCAACAACAAACATGACCAGGCAGCTAACTGACCATCAAGTGGCCACAAAAGCATGTGGAACGACATTCAAGATCACATCCACGTACCTCTTCGTGCCAGTTTTCTCGGAACCAGACCATCTGATCGACGATGCCTTCCAGGGAAGACAGAAGGGTTGGGTGCAGTTCCCGCTGCATGTGCATGATTCGGCTGCAGCGCCACATGGGTGCTGTTGCTCTTATGGGCCCTGGATCTGATGCAGAATGGGACTGGTTACCCACTGAACTTGGCTGCTGCTGTCCAGAATCTGAGAGCAACACACACAACGCCAATGTCAGCGCAAAACTGACCGATGCTAGAGCTTGGTGCTCTAGAGGACCCACCGGCCAAAGGAACACTGGTTCCTGCCGATGCTGACACACGAGACGTTTCCCCAGGACTATGTGGGAGGATACCTGGTTCTCAGGAGAGGTGCTCTGAGGGACTCGGCACAGAAAATGTGACTGTCTACAACCTGGCCTCAACTGGCTCAGCAGAGCGCATCCATGCTGGTAAGAAAGCAAACGTGGCAGCATGCTGGCTGGGGAGTCTGTGAGGCCGCACAAGTGTGCACTGTCCTCCCTCTTTTAACTTGACTCTAAGTATAAACATTTTTGTTTACAATACATGCCTCGTACTGTAGCTCAAGAGTAGTTAACAAGCAAGTCTACATTCTTCACCTGGGAAAGCCAAACCACACATAAAGTGGTATTTTTGAAAAATATCATCACTTGCTATATGAGAACTGTTATTAAAACCCACGAGCCCCATTTACCTAAGCTTCAGCTCACTTAGAATAAAAACATCTTAATTTTCAAATGATCAACACATGAATCTACCGAGGTGGGCCCAGGAGGTCAGGGCAGAAGTGTGCTGTGCAACCTCCCACCCACCCAGCTCGCTGGCAGGCGATGCTGCTGAGAAAGACTCTGGTCTCGCAGCATGCAAGTCTGGGTAGTAAAAATATTCTGAAGCAAATGATCCTTTAATTGTTTAAAAGCAGCATGCTTAGTGGGCAACTGGAACCATCAAATAAGTTATTTCTTTATATACAGCGACTACTCAATATAGATTTAAAACCTTATAGTAACTAACATTTATACTGCTTACCAGGATGTAGTTATACTAATTAGGTAAGTTACTTGTAATTATCTATAGCTAAAAATTTCATATATGATTTCTACTTAACACTCCGGTGTGGGGTGAATTTCCCGCCAAAATATAAGATGGCTCTGTCTTTTGGTTTTGTTCCATCCACCAAAAGGGTGGATTACAAACAAATATTTGGTAATACGCAGTTACAATCGGCCCGAGTTTACACGTTTCCCGCACTCCACCGCAAATCTATATGAACCGAGTTAAAGACGGCTCCCGCGGAGTACGCGCAATTCACGCGAGCCGACTTAACTCGTTTCCCCCACTCCAAGTGTTAAGGATCAAATCACTCAGGTAAATGGACACCCAATTACATTATGGTAAAGAAGAACCATAAATTTCACTCAAGAGGATCAGGCTCTGGTTCTGGTCCCAAAATATTCTCTCTCTCACTGGCTAAAGAATGGCCCACGTGCTAGGAAGTCTGCTGTGGGGCAGGCGTGTCCACAGCCGAATGGATGGGAATGCCCCGTGGAACAAGCCCTCCACAGCCTGGCCAGCTGGCCCCGCCCGAGACATACCACTCTTGTAGCGTTCCCGCTGCTCTATTTTCAGAGTCAGGTACAGGGTCCGGATGGGAAAGTAGACTGCCTGGGGATACACGCGTCCGACCTGCTCAGAGACAAGGAGTAATGAAGAACACTGCTCACTGTTCTTCTGGATGAAGACACTTTGTATCAAAATAACTGATATAAATCAAAAACGGGTGGCTGGTCTACATTTGGACCAAGGAAGCAAATACTGACTAATAGATGAGGCCAGATTAAACAGCAGGTAAAACATCCAGTTTAGCTTTAAAGACCCAGGAAAGATCAACACGGTGCATGCATTTCAGCAGTTCTGCATGGGGACCATTAATGACACAGAAACCATACTTTCACTTGATTCAGTAAGTCTCAGGAAGGCAAAATGCATAAGTCCCTGAAACTCATTCAGGCAACCAAAGGAAAACACCAAAAGACACCAACCAATCAGCCTTCTATTTGGCACAGTTCACGGGAAGTGTGAAATGATTCTAGCTGACAATTAGGCTTATCAGTGAATAACTTTACTCTGCGTAACTGTAGCAAGGAGGAGATTTAAAGTTTTCTATTTACAGTTAGAAAAACCAGTTTTATCAAATTGGGGTTACAGGGCTCCTTCAAAGAGCTGAGTAGATATTATCTCACTCTACCACAGCCACGGGGTGGTTCGGCTAATGTACATTAAGAGATGTTCCACGAATGATAATACACATAGACCGAATCTACATCCTGAGAGATAAACCCCAAGCAAAATGCCAGTTTCCAGAAACACAGCTACCTCCTCTCAAGGAAAAAATAAGACCATTTCTGGGTAAAAAACAGATGATGCACCACATGTAAAAAGCCAAGTAAACTGACAAAATGATGAGTGGCGTGTTCCTAAGTGCTTGGTGACGATGCTCCTCATTCATGAAAAGTTACACGACTATCCTATATAATAAAAGCCTAATATGCTAAGTGTCCGGTCAACCAGTCAGCCTTTCAACCAATCAAAGCATAATATGCTAATGATATGCTAAGGCCACTCAACTGCTCGCTATGATGTGCACTGACCACCAGGGGGCAGATGCTCTGACCAGTAGGTTAGCTTGCTGCTGGGGTCTGGCTGATCAGGACTGAGCAAGAAGGGCCGGACACGCCCTGGAGCCCTCCCTCGGTCCCTCCCCTGCTGGCCAACCTCCTGCGTCTCTCCCCAGCCCTGATCATGCTCCAGTGGGTTCCCTCGGCCTGGCCTGCACCTCTCAATATCCGGGACCCCTTGAGGGATGTCGGAGAGCCGGTTTTGGCCCAATCCTGCAGGCCAGGCCGAGGGACCTCACTAGTGCACAAATTCGTGCACTAGGCCTCTAGTAATTTTATAAAAGGAAGCACAAAGGTACTATATTCCAGACTGAGGTATTAAGTTTCTACTGTTTGGGTCCTTCCCCTAATGTTTTCTCAGGATAGGAACATTCTGGAATCATTCTTAAATAATGGTAATGAAAGCCATCTGCCCGATGCCCTGTCACCAACCTCAGTGCACCCAACTTTAATTCTCTAACAGCCACAGCCAAACAACTCTACCAAGGGCAACAACCTCCACATGCATGGGAGAGTTTTACTCTGAAGGGAAGCTCTGAAGACCTCCTGGCACAGACAGGAAATCGGTTATAAAATAGCAATCAGACACACATTTCACTGTGACCAGCTCTCAGAGTACTCACTAGTAATCTTACATTTTAAGAGAATCGTTATTCACAGTGGAGCCTTAGTTCTTGAATTTAATTTGTTTCTGAAAGCTATTTGAGAAGCAATTTGTTCGAAAACAGAATCATTTTTTCCCATTAGAAATAATATAAATTAATTTGTTCCAGAGCCCCAAATGATTCCCTACTTTAACCTTTCTTATATACAGTACATATCTAATGTACTGTTTCATCTATAAACAAACACTTCTTTTCTTAGATTTATAGAACTACTCCTATTACCCTTAAATCACTTTTGGCACTCATGACAGGAGTGTCTTTCAGAAAGTCAGCATGTAGCATCTTCGCTTTTTCACATATCATTGCCTGTGACATGCTGTCACATGCTAACTACTTTTCGTTTATCCAAATCAACCAGTTTTTCTACCTCTTCAATTGCCTGTGATCATTTAGCAACAGTAGCACTTCTGATGGCCTATATATGTTTTAAAATTGTGCTAATCATCCATTTCTAACAACAAAAGCAATACATATACATATATATACATACACACACACACACACACACACACACACACACATATGTAGCATAACTTCCTGGGATGTTTAGCGGTAAATTGACTCGCATTCCCTCCTTTGCTTGTGGCCTGAGAGATACTTTTTGTCATGCTGAGGTATCAGCAAGAAAGGGTTGTTAGGTCGAGAACTGAAGTTGCGTTCAATAACCAAGACACTTATTCTGTGAACAACTTGGTCAAGAACTGAATTGTTCGAGATGGGAGATATTCAAGAACCAAGGTTTGATTGTATTTGCATCTTTTTTTTTTTTTTTTTTTAAATATATTTTTTATTGATTTTTTACAGAGAGGAAGGGAGAGAGATAGAGAGTTAGAAACATTCTTCAATCACATTTAATTATGTTTTATTTAAAGTGATAGCTAGATGTGTATATGTTCCCTTCTCTTTGACTTGCCCTTGACCGGAATCGAACCCGGGACCTTTCAATCCGCAGGCCGACGCTCCATCCACTGAGCCAAACCGGTTTTGGCTGTATTTGCATCTTACGTGGCAACATGTTCAAGCAAAGAAATTACCACCTTAATAAAGCAATGCTATAGCAGATTATTTCATTTCAACCTTGATATATTCTTCAATCACATTTAATTATGTTTTATTTAAAGTGATAGCTAGATGTGTATATGTTCCCTTCTCTTTGACTTATTTCCCATGCTTTGAGCATGCACATTTTCTTTCTGGAAAAAAAAAAAAGTGAAACAAAGACAATTTTTTTGTGAACAAAGACACCTTGTTATTCTGACCTGGCTGATGAGGTTCAAAAGCAGCTTTCCTTCTGAGCCCACCAGGCAGGTGAGCAGCTGCGGGATCCAGGCCAGCCACTGGATGGGTGGCACACCAATGCAGTACTTGTCGACGGCATCTGCCAAAGTGTTTTTATCATCATCGAAACTTAAAAGCCACAGCACCTAGGGTAGAAGGAAAAATTCTAGAGTCGAATAAAAATTCTGAGGCCTTTAAAGTGACTTTTTCCAGCATTAAAATACCATATAGAGTCGTTTTACTGGAAACACCAAAGGGCCAACAATATTGCTAAACTTACCAGATAAATAAAACCAAAACCTAAAATACAGTTTTAGGTTTAGAGTCAGCTTTAATGCCAATTATTAACTGATCCAATCAACTAGCTGGCGGTGGCCAGTGACCCTGAGGTGGACGGTGAGGGCCCGCCCCCCTGCTAATTCACACCCATGATCGCACCAATACAAACTGGACTTTTGCTAAAAATCTCAGAGGAACACCACCCTAGCATCAGGTAGGCCACAGGCTGGCAGCCCCGTGTCCAAGGATGTCTGAAACAATGACATCTAGAAATAAGCAAATTTGGAGTCAGATATTTGAGTGGTTTCTTTGCCTCATGGAGTTAGTTTGTTTCTATAGTTGGCCGGAACTACTATGTGCTGCTGTACATTCCACATTTTGGCATTACCTCAAGGAATTCTAAAAAAATCCACACCTTTAACAAACAAAACAGGAAAGAAAAATAACTTATTCTTAAGTTTTCTGCAAGAATTAATTCTGGGCTATATTTATATGTTTTGTGGCAGGGGTGAGGGACAAGAGGGAGCAACACTGAAGGACTCTCAAGCTGATGCCCATCACTGGGCACATGTCAAACTGCCAATCCTGTGCCCAGCGCTATGCTGAGGCAACGAAGGATGAGAATGCCAGCAACCAGGACCTCACCCTGTAGTGTGCGCAGAAACCATGGGACTCACCATGACCTGCGACTAGAGCTGACAGGCTCTATGAACATGTGCACTGTCCCTGCAGGCAAGAGCAGAATCTAACAGGTATCTAGCAGGTAAGGTCTCCTTGCAGACCCCTCATTAGTCGGAAGGAACCTCTGTCTAGTGTGAAATCCCACAGTGAACACTGGACTTGAGACCTAAGACCCAGACTCCAGGCTTGGTTTTGCTGCTTAAATGTCCTGGGATCCCGAGTATGTCCAGGCCTCAGTTTTCTCAGCTTTAAAACTGAAATAGGAAAGGTACTTTGAAGAGTGACAAAAATGGAGAGTTAAGGCATGAAATAAGCCTCTCACCCAACATGAATTCGGAAGTAGCTGAATTGTCATCCAAACTTGAAGGCTACCAGATTGATCTCTGGTCAGAGCTAATTCTTTTGGCCTCACCTTGGCTAAGTATTTCCTTGATTTGCTCTCGTTCTGATGCCGGCATGCATGCAGGTAACAGGTAATGGCAGACACTCCGAGATGCAGCTGCCGCTCCTTCACGAAGATGTTCTCCAGGTAATCGCCCCACATGGCCCAAGCCTTCACCAGCACATCATGCATCTGCACAGCTGCAGAAAAGGCTTTGTTTGCTTCCTCAGACCTGTGAGGACACAAATCAAAACATTAATTTGGTTTTCTTTCCAGGTGAACGTCACATAAAAAAAATCAACCATTTAAAAGTGAACGATTCAGTGGCATTTAGTACAGGTACGCACTTTGGACATACAGGTCATGCAGCTACCACCTCTATGTATGTAGTGCCAAAACGTTTCATCATCCCAAAATAAAACCCCAGCCATTAAGCAACCTCTGGGGACCACCAATCTGCCTACTGTCTCTATATAGATTTACCAATTTTTCATATTTCATGTTAAGGGAATCACACATTATGTGTCTGGCCTTTCACTTAGCATAGAGTGAAGCATGTATGAGTACTTTATTCCGTTTTATGACTAAATACTATTCCACTACCTGTATATGCCACATTTTGTTTACCCATTCATTTGAGGTGTTTTAACATTCTAGCTACTTTAATAGTGCTGCTGTGAACATTCGTGAATAAGTACCTATAGGAGAACTCATTTTCAATTATTTTGGGTAATATACCAAGGAGTGGAACTGCTCCTATGTTTAATCCTATGTTTAATTTTTTGAGGAACTGCCAAAGTGTTTTCCATAGTGGCTGCACCATGTTAGTATCAAACCAACAATGTACAAGACATCAAAGAGAACTACGCATCCATATCCCTTACTAATACAAATGCAAACATCCTCAGCAAAATATTAGCAAACCAAATCCAACAGCATATTTAAAGATTATGCACAGTGACCAAGTGGGATTTACCAGCAATGCAAGGAGTGATTCAATATACAAAAATCAATCCATATACTACACCACATTAACAGAATGAAGGAGAAACACATTGTCTCAGTTGATGAAGAAAAAGCATTTGACAAAATGCAACACCTTTTCATGATAAAAATGTTCAACAAACTAGTAATAGAAGGAAACTACGTTAATAACATGAAGGTCATATATGAGAAACTCACAGCTAATAACATACTCAATGCTGGACAATACAAAGTTTTCCTCTGAGAACTAGAACAAGACAAGGATGTCCATTTTCACCACTTCTACTTCAACTTAGTGCTGGAATTCTTAGCCAGAGCAAACAGGCATGCAGATTGGCAAGGAAAATGCTAACTATCTCTATTTGAAGATTACATGATCTTATATGCAGGAAAACCTAAAGAAGTCACAAAAGAACTATTACAGCAAAGTTGAAAAATACAAGATCAATATTTAAAATCCAGTTGTATTTCTATACCTTAGCAATGGACAATCTGAAAATAAAATTAAGAAAGCATTTTATACCATCAAAAGGAATAAAATATTTAAGAATAAAATTAACATAAGAAATGTAGGACTTGTACATTGAAAACTATAAAATATTGTTAAACGAAACTAAAGATGACCTAAGTAAATGAATCCTGTGTTCATGGATTGGAGATTTAATACTATTACCATAGCAATACTGCCCCCCCTAAAATTAATCTACAGATTCAGTGCAATCCCTGTCATAGTTTCAACTGCCTCTTTTTGCAGAAATAAATAACCTAAAATTAATATGGAAATGTAAGGGACCTCAAAAAAACAAAACAATCTTGGAAAATAGCAAACTAAGAGAATGCTTCCCAACTTCAAAACTTACTACAAAGCAGCAGCAATCAAGGCAGCGTGGTCCTAGTGTAAGGGTGAAATACACACCAATGGAACAGAACTGTGTCCAGAAATAAAGCTATACATTTCTGATTAACTGATTCAAAGTTAACATTCAATAGGGGGAAAGAACAGTCTTCTCAACAAATGGTGCTGGTAACAACACGATATACACATGCAAAAGAATGAATTTTGGACAACTACCCTCATGCAATATTAAAAAATTAACTCAAAATGGATTAAAGAGAGAAATGTAGGAGCTAAACTTATAAGACTCATAGGAGTAAATGCACATGACCATGACCTTGGGTTAGGCAATGGTATCTTAGATATGAAACCAAAAGTACAGGCAACAACAACAACAAAAATTTGATAAATTGGACTCAACAAAATGATAAACTTTGTGCATTAAAGACACTATCAAAAAAATAAAAAGATCGCTTATACAATATGAGAAAATATAATGTATTTGAAGGAAACATATCCAGACATGTAATAATTAGAACTCGACAATGAGTCAAATACACAAAAAATGGGCAAAGTAACTGAATAAATATTTGTATAGAAAAGATATATAAATGATATAGAAGCACCTAAAAGATGCTAAACATCCTTAGTCATTAGAAAAATGCAAAGCAACCATAATGAGATTCCACTTTATACTCACTGGGATAGTCATAATCAGAAAAATGGAAAATAACAAGTGCTGGCAAGGAGGTGGACAAACTGGAAACACAGACTATGCTGGTGGGAATGAAAATGGAGCACCTACTGTAGACAACTGGCAGTTTCTCAAAAAGATAAAGAAGTACTGCCCTGGCCAGTGATTCTCAGTGGTTAGAGTGTTGGCCCATGTACCAAAGGATTGTGGGTTCGATTCCCAGTCAAGGGCATGTACCTGGGTTGCAGGTTCGATCCGCCACCCTGGTCGGGGTTCGTGCAGGAAGCAACCACTCGATGTGTCTCTCTCACATTGATGTTTCTCTTTCTGCCCCTCTCCCTTCTACTCTCTCTAAAACTCAATGGGAAAAAAATATCTCCAGGTGAGGATTAACCAAAAAAAACATAAAGAAATACCACGTAACCCATCAACTCCACTCCTGAGTATATACCCAAGAAAACTTGAAACATGCTCATACAAAATCTGTTACATGAATGCTCACAGCAGCATTATTCATAATAGCTGAAAAGTGGAAACAACCCAAATGTCAATTGTTGTATGAATAAATAAAATGTAGGAATATACAATGAAATAGTATTCAGCCATGAAAAGGAACAAAGCACTGATACATGCTATAACATGACTGAACCTAAAAAACATGTGAAAAAGCCAGATTCAAAAAGCCAGATTCTATTTATATGAACTGTCGACAACAGGCAAATCATAGAGACAGAAAGTAGATTAGTGGCTGTCAGAGGACAAAGGAAGAGACTGCTAACAGGTATGGGGTTTCATGTGAATTTAAAACAGATTTTAATAGGATAAAACCCTTTTATCTTGACAAAATCGTTTTTATTTAAAAACTAGAGGCCCGGTGCATGAAATTTGTCCACTGGGGGGTGGGGGGTCCCTCAGCCCAGCCTGTACCCTCTTGCATTCCAGGAGCCCTCGGGGGATGTCCAATTGCCAGGTTAGGCCCATTCCCTGGGAGCAGGCCTAAGCTGGCAGTCGGGCATCCTTAGCGCTGCCGTGGAGGCAGGAGAGGCTCCCGCCACTGCCGCTGTGCTCCCCAGCTGGGAGTTCAGGTCAAGGCCCTGTGGGAATGCACTGACCACCAGGGGGCAGCTCCTGTGTTGAGCGACTGCCCCCTGGTGGTCAGTGCACGTCATAGCAACCGGTCATTCCGCTGTTCAGTCAATTTGCATATTAGCCTTTTATTATATAGAATAAGCTTAATGCAACCCCTATAACTGAAAACATGAAAGGTGGGTCTTATAGCTCTTTATATAGCAACAGGTAGCATCTTGTAATTATACATAATTTATATATTTTATAAAATTTCACCTGATATTCATTTCTCTAAAACAGGGTTTAGCTACCTTTTCCTGTAATGGACCAGTAAGAAAACGGGTTAGGCTTTGCAGGCCATATAATTTCTGTCACAACTCAACTCTGTGGCTATATTGTGAACAGCCATAGACACGTCAGTGGTGTGGGTGTGCTCCAATATGTCATTTACAAATCCAGACACTGGCTGGATTTGGCCTGTAGGCCATAGATGACTGACCACTGCTCTAAAATAAGAAGCATCTCCATAAAAGAGATCAACTCTGTGCCCCAATGGCATGCTGAGAAAATGGAGAAATGAATCCATGTTATCAGCCGTTCTGTTTTCAAGCAACTCCTTTTTAAAAAGCTTTTAAAGTACACATCAAACTGGCTTATCAATCAGCTGGAAGTTACTCTCTCTGCAGAGGTATAACACCTGAAACATCACACCTGACAACTATCACCAAATCATACCAATTTCAAGCTTGACATTCACATCGGCTAAGAAGCATCTCCATAAAAGAGATCAACTCTGTGCCCCAATGGCATGCTGAGAAAATGGAGAAATGAATCCATGTTATCAGCCGTTCTGTTTTCAAGCAACTCCTTTTTAAAAAGCTTTTAAAGTACACATCAAACTGGCTTATCAATCAGCTGGAAGTTACTCTCTCTGCAGAGGTATAACACCTGAAACATCACACCTGACAACTATCACCAAATCATACCAATTTCAAGCTTGACATTCACATCGGCTTCAAGTAATAAATAACCATTTAAAAGTTGTTGACTTTTACTCTTACTTTCCTCCTATGTAACATACATACTTGTTAATCTGAGCCAAGAACATTCCCTTCAGTGCATAAAATTCAGCTGTCATCTCTTTTGTGAAGTATTTTAAGTTTGTAGATTCTATAACTTCAAGTCCCTGTTTTAAGAAAAACGTAGAAAAAAGTCCTTGAAATTTTTATACAATATAACAAATTCATTAAAATATTAATCTAACTAATATATCCTAAAGGTCATTGACAAATGTACTTTAAATTGACAACAGATTTGCCTACGAGGAATATCTATTGACAAGTAGTATTTAAACTGAATCACTAAATGCTAATTCAAGTTCTAGACACTTTAAGGGTATTATTTTATACTAGAGATCCAGTGCATGGATTTGTGCATTGGTGGGGTCCCTCACCTGGCCTGTGCCCTCATGCAATCCAGGACCCCTTGGGAGATGTCAGAGAGCTGGTTTCTGCCTGATCCCCGCAGACCAGGCTGAGGGACCCCACCGGTACACGAATCTGTGCACCGGGCTTCTAATATGCATATAAGATCTTTGGTTAATCTCTTCCGGCCCTCCCCCTTCCCCCTTCTCCCTGAGATTCATCAGTCTGTTCCATCTTTCCATGCCTGTGGTTTCCACTCCTGCATTGAGCATCTGCCCCCTGGTGGTCAGTGCATGTCATAGCTTACTGGACAGTCAGTCGGTTGGTGAGTCGGCCGGTTGCTTAGGCTTTTATACATATAGATGTCTAAACAGTTTATTGATTTTATTAATATTCCTCTGAATATAGCCAATATCTACGTTACAATATCCTACTTCTGCAGTCTAATTTTTTTCCTTAAATACATTAACCAAGTATATGATAGAACAGAGATGATAAAATGTAATTCCAGTGGTGCCCTGGCCAGTGTGGCTCAGTTGGTTGGATCATTGTCCTGTACACCAAAAGGTAGCAGGTTTGATTCCCAGTCAGGGAACATTCCCAGGTTGCAGGCGCAGGTTTTTGATCCCCAGTTGGGGCGCATACCTGAGTCAACATTCAATGTTTCACTCTCACTTCAATGTTTCTCTCTCTCTCTCCTCTCCCACTCTCCCTAAAATCAATAAAAGCATGCCTCAGGTGAGAATTAAAACATATATATGTATTCACTCAAGTGCTTTCCTTTCCTTTTCTTGTTCAGGAAGATCTGCTTCCCTACTAAGGCTGTATTTGTTGAAAGTTCTAACACTCCTTCCCTATTGTCTGAACCAGGAGTTCCATGTGGACACTCCTACCCTTCTTTACTGGACCTGCTGGGCACAGGGGCAGGCACCAGGCACTGATGGCACTCTACCTGCATACACTCGTTTTTCCCCATGACTCCGGCCAGTTGGAGGTAGCATTTGACTTGCTGTCGGATCTTCTGGAAGCAATCCACGATAGGAACAGTTGGAATAGTATGAATACGACTTAATATATCCAGAGCTACATTGACCAGTCCTTGTTTCCGGGCAATCTTTCCATACTGGATGATTGCTGAAGCTGAGGCATGAACTCCAAGCATAGCATTATTGGAACTTGGATCATGCTGAGAACTATTTTCATACGCAGTTACAATAGCTAGAGAGCAAAGAAATGAGTTATTAGTCCGTGCCAAACATTTTCAAAGTGTCCCACAATAAGGCTTAAGTAAAAAATGAAAACAAACACACATGGCTTATGAAGATGGGAAGCTCCGTAATAAATTCTTGTTACTTTTCCTTGTGTTTTATATCAAAAGGAAGATATAAAAAGCACTAACTATTGAGTGTTACCATCTTGGCTAACTAAATCATGAAGGCTGCTCTAAACAAACGTCTGGCAGGTTTAGTGTATGAGCAGAGGGGACCAGAAAACTGGAGAAGGCTACACACAGCCACCTAAGAGCAGTTCTTCGTGGGAGGTGAGGGGTGGTGTTCAAAACAAAGAGCCACAACCCAGAGCTCCGATCACACTGGCCTGAGCCCCTGATGCAAGAAGCAGTGTCAAGCAGCACTTCTGTTCTAGCTAGAAAAAATTTAACAGGTAGAAAAATCCTTCCCATCTTTCACCACCTTCACCTTTGTCTCACCATACCACCACCATCTCCCATACCCACCAAAAATCAGAAAATCTGGTAAAAGAAATAAAAAACCAAGACATGAAACCAGAACAGTGGGGTGTCTGGAAAATTACATGATGAATGCATGCCGGACCAGGTAGGTTTACCCTGGTAATGATGCTGCCGCCACATGAAGACGCTGCTCCAGTGGGACAAGTCGTCGGACACAATGGGCAGCCTGTTCCTCCAGGTCTTTACCACCGTCTTCATGTCGTGCAGGCTGTTGTTCCTTCCCAGGTTGGTCGGCTGTAAACCTGCATTTATTTGCGCAGCTTCCTGAAGTTCAATGATTTGCTGGGCGGCCTGAATGAAACCAACGTAAGAGATTCTACAGTAAGCGTTGTATCAAAGATCACATGAGAAAATAAACCAGAGTCAATCAGGAATCAGACTGATTGTAAAGATCTCACAAATCTATTATGAAAGAAAGCACTCTAACTTCTACAGACACCTTAGATTGCACATTTAACTCATTTTTCACCTCCAACACTGCTCTCCTGATCCCAATTTTAAAATCTCAGCTCTGTGGCCACTGCGAGACAGGAGATGGGCAGAAGAATGGTGTAGATACCAAAGTTGCTAACAGATAACCCCCAAAACAATTCTCTTTTCCAACTATGGTTGGCTCTTTCTCTGCCAATGTCTAAGGAAAGAACAGCCTAGTCCCTCACGCTTGCCTTCCATCAACATTTAAAAACCCACAGCCGTATTAAGCATTTTAAAACATGGTTCTGATTATCTCTTTGGGCTGGTACAGACATTTTCAATCACGTGTCTTATTAGTCTGTATAGTTTACTACTTTTTAAACCTTAGATGTGTTGCTAGCTCCAAACTTCTGGTGCCATCTCCTTACTGAGAGAGCCCTGGCCACAATTTTGAGTCTATCCAAATTCTACCCATTAAGTTCCACCTTCCCCTCCCACAGGAATTTAAAAAATAAAAATTAATAAAATAAAAAGAAGCACTTCTCGCCCTGGCCGGTGTAGCTTGGTTGGTTGGAGTGTCATCCCATGTACCAGAAGGTCACGGGTTTGATTCCTGGTCTGGGCACATACCTAAGTTGCAGGTTTGATCTGGGGTAAATATAGGAGGTAATTGATCGATGTGGCTATATAAGTTGTGGTACATTTACACAATGGAATACTATGCCGCTATAAAAAAGCTCTTACCCTTTGAGACAGCATGGATGGATCTGGAGAGTATTATGCTAAGCCAAATATGTCAGTTGGAGAGAGACAAATATCACATGACCCATTTATATGTGGAATCTAATGAAATAAACTGACAAAAAAAATAGGCCCCCCCCCAAAAAAATAGGGCCAGAGGAATGGATGCATGTAACAGAATAACAGATCTCAGGTGGGGATGAGGAGGACGAGATTAACCAAAGAATATATATGCATAACCATGGACACAGACAATAGTATGGGGAAGACCTGGTGTGGGGTGGGGTGGAGGAGGGCAAAAAGGGAGAAAATGGGAGACATCTGTAATACTGACAATTTAAAAAAAAACGCACAAAAACATTTGAGACCCATTATGAAGGAAAACACAGCAAGTCCTGATACTGAGGAGGACCGAAGGGAATGAAGGAGATACTCTGAAGTTCTAAGCCTGGATACATGAATTAACCAGGTAACTCTTTTTTGGTTAACTACTGAAAGTATTTTTGTCAAAATTCATCTTTCCTACACTACAATTTGACAATCATTATTAAAATTAAAAAATTAATACAAAAAGCAAATAAACAAACCAAAAAAATATATCCTCCGCCTGGCTGGTGTGGCTCTGTGTTTGAGCATCAACCTACAAAGCAGGAGGTCACGGTTCAATTCCCCGTCAGGGCGCATGCCCTGGTTGCATGCTTGATCCCTTGTAGGGGGTGTGCAGGAGGCAGGCGATCAATGATTCTCTCTCATCATTGTCTCTTCTATCTCTCTCTCCCTACTTCTCTAAAATCAATTTAAATATATATCTATATAAAAGTTTCAGAGAATGATAGACCTTTCGAACTGAACAGTGGCATCACACTGATGGTGGTATAGTGGGCACTAAATAAAATTCGTAAAGCAAAAATGCAAATCATCAAAATCACTCCTGAGGATATCTTCTGTCACTTAAATCCCTTGGAAGTTCCAAAAATGAGAAGCAACATTTTAGTCTACATTTTCACTCTGCCTTCCTTCCACTGAGGATGAGTTTAAGTGGGAAAGGACACGACAAGTAGAAGGAGTTTCCTCTCTGCCATCCAGTTCAGTTTACAGATCTACGCCTGGACAAGCTGTTCTCTGCTATGAGGGCCCATGAGGCTGCTCACATTAATGTACCATAACCCACCTGGAGAAGAGGCGTGTGCACATGGGACACCACATGAGGCAAGCGCCGCCACTCACGGATGGCCAAGCTGCTGGCCATTTCCACCAGGCGTTCGATGAAGCTGAGCTGTTGCTCCTCAGGATGGCAGATAGCCAAGTATCCGCGGTACATGTTGACCTTCCAAGCCATCTCCTTGGGACAACTTACTTCTACCTGGTAATAAAGAACATTACATAGGAAGCTATGGGTATTCTTCCTCTCAGCAGAAAGAGTCAAAAAGGAAAGTCAATGTATTTTTGTAGTCAAAGCAATAAGCAGAAATTAAGCTATAAACAGACATTTCTTTTATTTAGAGAAGTCATACATTTCAACTACTTTTTCTGGATACTCTCCTTTTCCAAATACCAGTCCGTGGCCAATCTCTCCAGCTACAAAAATATGCCACTGGCTCCTTGTTTTAAGGTATCAGTGGTGCCAAAAAGGGCAAACTGATCACCACTGCTACTACAGATGAGATTAGCCACCATCACTTGGCTACAAAGTTACCCAGTGAAGTCCAAAGTATTAAACACATGTTCATCTCCACTCTGACAAATAACAGTGAAATTACGAACTTTTCCTAATTCAACTCTTACTCCGGGAAGTTAATCTGTAACCCTAACCCTTGCTCCCGCACACATAGCTACAGCTGGGTAAAAGATCCTCGTGTGTCCCTAAAAGCCCATGTGCTTGCTTACCACCTTTGAGAGAAAGCATTAGAACTCATCACATGTTATCAATCTCATATAGAGCATTTAAATGATAAAAAATTAAAGTCTCAAAAATAATCTCTGTATATAAGAAGATAAAAGGCTATCTCTGCTGAAGGAATTGCATAGGACTTGCTGTAACAAGATCAAGAAACATTCATTGTTAAGCACCTTTAGGAAGTAACAATAAAAATTATACACATTTTAGTGCCTTAATGCTTTTTGCCCAAATGATGTAATAATAATGCCGTCCTGTATTTTATACCTTGGCTTGTTTTGACTTCTTACTCTTTCAAAAATCATTCACCTTCTTGCGCTGGCCAATGGTTCTCAGTGGTTAGAGTATCAGCCCACACACCAAAGGGTTACAGGTTCAATTCCAGGTCAAGGGCACATAACTGGGTTGCAGGTTAGATCCCCAGCCACAGTTGGGGCATGTGCAGGAGGCAACCAATCAATGTGAGACACATTGCCGTTTCTTTCTCTCTCTCTCTTGCGCTCGAGCTCTCTCTCTCTCCCTCCCCCCTCTCACTCTTTAAAAAAATCAATGGAAAAAAATATCCTCGGGTGAGGATTAACAAAAAAATTCAAATTCACATTCTTGACCCCTCAGATCTCAACAACCCAGTGATGAAGAAATTCAGGAAGGCAAACTTGTGAACACATCTGCTTCTGACATGATCATCTAAAATTATACCAATCTCACATATTCTGGACTTAAACACTAATTAACAGGCATTTTTCTTTTTTCTTTTTTTTGGGCAATTACAACACCTATCCTCTGTAACACTAATAGCAAAGGCATCTCTTTTAATTTCTCACCACTGAAAAAAATTAACCCATCGATTAAATCACACCAAGAAATGGACTACTGCAAGAAGTCCTATAATCGGAATGCACAGGAATAAAAAAGTAAGTTGTGTTTTTCCTTTTAAATATTGGCAAATAAGTAAATATTTAGTCCTTTAAAGACCATTTTAAATTAATTTACTAAAAATCACTCAGAATGTTTGTATACTTTGAGCTTTTTTCTAATCAGCAAATGCCTTACAATTTTGGGAAAATAATCAAGATTTTTTTCTTGAAAAAGAAATTCATTTGTCAGACCTATTGGCAGTATGACACTGCACATATCCAGCTAAGTGAAACCTTGAAAAGATTTTATTTTTTGTTTTCTGATTAATCCTTACCCAAGGAGATTTTTTCCATTGAGTTTTACAGAGAGTGGAAGGGAGAGGGAGAGACAGAGAGAGAAACATTGATGTGAGAGAGACACATCGATTGGTTGCCTCACGCACTCAGATTGAGCCTGCAACCTTGACCAGAATCGAACCTGGGACCCTTCAGGCCGAGGGCCAACGCTCTAACCACTGAGCCAAGTGACTGGTTATTTCTCAGAGTAATACAAGCTCCCTGCATCAGATGAGTGATTTCCCAGATCCCAACCTGAAAGTCAAGACTTGGGCTCTATAACCACAATATGTTTAACAGTTTGTGACTATTTCAGTTCTTCCATCTTTTGCATTTTGTTAAAGGAACGTTAGTCATGAAGTAAGTGCTGTAGCCTCAATAAAGTTTAAAATGTTAGGTTCATCATTTCAAAGAAAGGGGCCTACGATCTCAATGTGTTTTTGCGGCTTCCACGTTAAGAATAAAGAAAATTGCTGGCATGAATGTAAGAAAACCCAGTGAGTAAAGGGGTAGGCGAGAACAGGATGACACCATTTCCTTCCCCTAAGCTCCATTACATGAACACCACACAGAAAGACCAAAAGCTGGCAGGGACAGGGGCTGAGGGAGCATACGATGGACGGGCACAGAGGCAGGGAAAAATAAAGAGCAATGAGAATGGCTGCATCCGAAGACAATAATAAGGCAGTAACAATATGTTGTGGGGTCAGATGGTACACAGGCTACACTGTCCAATCACTTTTGATGCCCAGTGGGAGAAAGGGAACTGTACTCGTGTGCCACCCTCTCATCATGCACCCAATCCCTCTGGATGGAGTTTAATTTTTGTAATGTGGAGCTCAACCAAGGTAATAAATCAACTTCACTTACACTATACCACCATCACTTCCACAATACAAAATGTGCTTTGAATAGGAGACCGGTTCATTCTCCAAACTTTTACTGACAGCCAAGCCCTGGAGTTGTAGGAGTCCCCTTTGCTGTACTCAGTTCTATAGCTGTGCTTCGGCCCATCAGCTCCACCAGTAAAACTGACTCTGTTCTTCCAGATTTCTCCAGGTACTATGCATTTACACTTAGAATCCAAGGCCTCCACAACTGATACTTATTATTATAACTGAATGATCAACTAACAATTTATAATTTAACTCAAATTCAGAAAAGGTGTTAGAGATAACCCAAATGCATTCTTGCTTCCCAAGTTATCTTGATCTGCCAAAATTCCCAGGTTGTTCTAAGTGAAGAGAAATCTCCACAGAGATTCACGGCTTTGGCAAAAGGAACCCACGCAGCTGTGGGAACATAACCTGGGACTGCAGTCGTCAGGAGGGAGGTCTCACCTGCACCAACGCCTCCTTCATGGCTGTCCAGTTAGACACGCGCCAAGCACACTCCAGGACGAGGTAAGGGTTTATGTGACCTTTGGACTGGCCGTACTCCGTCAAGGCTTCCCACTGGTTCAATTCCTTAGAGCACCTGGGAGACCAGGGATTTGGGAAGTTCAGTTACCAACAAACCAACAGATTCAGAAAGCACGGGGATAGCCGTTCATTTCCATTCCACAGAAGAAAAGCCTTCTTCCCCCAGAGAAGAGTGGGCTTCTGTGGGAGGAAGGCTTGGTCCACTGCATTCCCACCTGCCCTCTGGAAGGAACTGCTCCTGCAACCCCAGAACCACCCACTGCACAGCGGAGAGCTCAGAGCACCAGAGCAGGGGAGAGGCAGGACTCAGTTTCTCCAACAGACATTTTTAATTATTCAAGTCTTTAAAAGTGTTCGTAGATTTTTTTGTTCTTTTCTCGATGGAGCCATGAAGAAAGTAGCAAAGTTCCCTTTTAAAAACACTCATTATGAGAACATTTCAGAGATCTGTCACGGGTTCCCTTAACTGGCAGGAACACATCCCTGTCCGGCTTACCGAATCCAGTGGTCCTCCCAGAGCTGGTATTCTGGGAAAATAGCAGGGGATGCATTGCTCCTCTCATGCTCTTTTTTGGCTTTATCCATTGCCTTCTCATAGGACTCTTGTGCCTAAAGAAGTTGATAATGCTGTCAAACTGCTGTTCAGGCAACTTCCCACAGCTGGCGCTCAATGGGCAAGTTGGGTCATAGACCCAGGAGCACCTGACACTCTCCTCTACAATCACTTGCCCCGGGAATCTCCTATTCACAGAGCAGAGAGGAGGGAAGGAGGAGAACGGAGGGTGCGCCGTTCCCACACAGAATGGAGGAGAGGGAGGCTGCCGGCCCAGGATGAGCCACTCTGTCCTGCAGCAATAAGAGCAGAGGCCACAGCCCATACCTATGCTTCCAGAGTTCCTGTGGCTCAGTGTCCTATGCAAGGCTGACAACCGTACTGTGCCCTTGGCCCACCCATGCCACATTGAAAGGACAGGCACGAAGGTTAAAATTTAAACACAGAAGGCCATCCACCTTCCACTTCCAATAGGGTCAATGAGTGCCCGTAAAAACCACCCACATTAGCTTCTACTGGCAAAGGATTTAGGGCTGAACGTTTAAGTAAGATCCTGTCATATACGTTTATCTAAGCTGAATCTTCAAAGGGCCTCTATGTGTAGGACAGGTGCTTCAAGTAAAACAGTAAACCTCTTATGTGAATGTGAACTGACTTGAGGACACTATAATATGTAATATTACAATATATAACATAACCATGCATTCCATTCACTGGACAGTGGCTACCTGCTCAAAGAATCCATGCTGTTCGTAAGCAATAGCAGTTGCTGTCTCAGAATACTTGCAACGCTTCTGCCACAAACCAGCCCACATATCTTCCTCTTGTAACAAAGAGTAAAGTTCTGCAAGGGAATCCAGTATCTCCTGAAAACACAGATCGTGGTTTTTAAGAACACATGACAAATACTTTTTTTCCAATAAAGCAACTTCACTGTGCTAGAACTTAAAATCACTTGGGAGATGTCTATTGAGACCATGATGTCATTGCCAAGGAAGATGTAATTAACACATGAGGGGGGCCTCACCTGCTGAGGTGGAGTTATGCTCTCCTGCTCATAAAATTCCGTTGTTTGCTTTGGCTTAATCTGCAGACTCAGACCTTTTTCAAAAGCCTGGTGCTCTAGCATTAATGTGGAGCGGAACCAAAGGTTGTGTGTTTTCCCCAAGTACTTCAGAACGCAGGGTCTGATGGGGATCGGAGGGACACACTGGGACATGGCTTCCACGAAGCAGTTCAGTGCGCTGGGCTGACAATCCCGCTGCACCTGGTGACTGCCACTGCACAGGAACGGGCTAATCTCACCAGCTAGCGCCTAAAACCAAAGATCATGTTAATTCAGGTCTCCCTTCAAAAAGTCAACATGTTTTGACTCACGCAGCATCTGTAAATATTTTTAATAATTGACTCTTAGATAACAGTCAATAGTTTTTCTTCATCCTTTGAAACATAATCAAGATTACTTTGTCAGAAATACTTATTGAAAGCTAAGACTATATTTCCCAAAACAGAAATTTAAGAATATACTCACATGCTGCTGTCGGTCAGACAGAATTTTCCACAATCTGGGAAAAAGCTGGACCCAGGTCTTCTCGGCCAGTGTGGTGGAAATGTGGCACAGCTGGACGAAGGCGCTGAGCAGGGCCCCGGTCTACAGACAGAAAAGAGGTCAGTGAGCCCGACATGGCCTGTGCTAAACCTCCGGCCAGCAGCTGCCTCACACACCCACGCTCAGGAGGCTCTGCAGGCCCACTGCTCCACTTCCAAACTCCCCACGGTCTGAGCAGTGTCACGTCACAGTGAAAAGATTCTGAGCACAGCGACCAACCCATCTGGCCTCCGCAGCCAAGCACAGACATGGGTGAGGGCTCATCAGTGACACGCCTTCATTTTCTAACTTTAAGGGCATTTCCAAACATGCTAACACTGAAAGTACACATGAGCGGTGCACAGGTGCCATCAAGCAAAGGCCACTGAAAATATAAAAGGGGAAATACAAAAAGCACACGCATATGAGTTAAGTTATATGCCAATGGTACAATTCCGAAGAACAAATCAAGGGCCCAGAAAGTTCAGAGTCTCTGCAACTGACAGCAGCCAAGAGATGAAAGAGTGACTGGAATGACGAAACCATGAAAGGGCCTGGAGTGGGAATTCAAGGGCCCAAAAGCTATCAAATCCACAGATGCGTTGATTTTGTCTACAGCTTTGTTGTTTTTGAAAATCTGAATTAGCTGCCAACATTTCCTCTAAAATAGCCAGGCTTCTAGCCTGCATGAAGCCCATGGGGCACACCTATCTCCTGATATGACCAGAAACATCTCTGTTTCTTTGTAACACTCCTCAAAAGTAACTCAGTATATGGAGCCATAGGTGATTCTCAGAGTCCTTACCTGAAAAATGATCATGTCTATAATTAACCTGAAAGTGTGTGGAAGCCAAAGATGTGGATACATCTCAAAATAGAATCTGTATCTGGAGATCCCTGCTCCCAAAAGTGAACTTGATTCACCACATATTCTCATTTTCTTCTTTTTTATTGCACTTGAAATATAATCCAGCAATGTCTCATCATATATATTTAGTAAACAACTTTACCATTTCTTTCAAGGGACAGTAATGGGGAATTAACCTCTTTTTATTTTTTCCCATAGGACAATATAAGTCCTTTCTCGAATCTTTCCATAAAACATCCACTTTAGAGTCTCACAGAACAATAATGGTTCCCATTGAGAAAGGAAAGAAAATGAAACTTGTAAAGGAAAATATTACATGGCTGTGGAATAATACTGATTTAGGATTCAAAATATGAAGCGGGGGGACCCACAACTATTCTTCCAAACCTACACACAGACCTTCACTTCTCGGAGAGTATCAAGAAATTTGTCATGTCTGTTGGTTAACATATGCAGCTGGTTTCCAATGTCCTTTTCAGAAAGTTCTTTGGTTTTGGGTGTGCTGGTCTGATCTCCAGGAGCCAGTTCAATATCTATCTCAACATCCTAAGAAACAAAAACAAACACAAATAAGCAAAACCAAAGAGTCAAATAATTAAAATCCAACAAATATAACTCTTATAAACTTCATTACATTTTTGGCAAGTAAAATTTTAGTTAATTTCCGGAAGTTTACAATTATTAAAATAATCTTGAATTCTAAAATAAACAACATACAGATTAACTTGATCAGACCTATTTCCTTCTCTTTCTCTTTTTCTTTTAGATGACACCATTTTGCATTCATATTTGGATTATGGAAGGCAAAATAAAGTTCCAACAGTAAGAATAATAAAGATTAGGAGCACTGGCTGGGTAGCTCAGTTGGTTAGAGCATCGTCCCAATACATCAAGGTTGTAGGTTCAATCCCAGGGCAGGGCACATGTAAGAATCAACCAATGAATGCCTCAATAAGTGAAACAAATCAATGCTTCTCTCTCTTTCTCTCCCCCTCCCACCTCCCACACCCTCTTAAAAAAAAAATCAATGGAAAAAATATCCTCAGGTGAGGATTAGCAAAAAAATAATTTTTTAAACTTGAATCTAGGTATCACATTTAGAGCTTTTAAAGTAAACAGATTTCAATTCATTGCTCCTGCCCTAAAGAAGTATAACCCTGATGTAAAGTTGGAGAAATGGGCGTTCTGCTGTGAAAAGGAAGCACCACGCAATCCAGACATTACCTCCTCTTTGGACTCGCTGTTCTCTCGCTCCCGAGGCTCCTGCTTGACATGTGTGACCATGGCAAAGGCTGCTCGATCATGGCTGTCGGCCAGGTTGATGACATTGGTGATGGACGGGAGCATAGCTCCTTGGCAGCTGGTACCAATGGGAGTGCTCTTCTCACACACGGCCAAGAGAAGCTAGAGGGTTTGAGGACAGAAGTAAATCTCGCATTGGGGGCGTGTGGGACCCCAGTCACTCTCTAATCATCTTGACAAGCATGCCCATTCTGACGGCTCCAGACCCACGACTCTGCTCTGCACATCTCCCCAGCCTAGACATAAAGTCTAATCTCGCTGTACGTTCCTCACTCAGGAACTTCGGACTCTTGTCTAAGAGCAAGCTCAGCTCAGCATCTTTCTCCCGTCCCAGACAAGCGTCCTCGCCTAGACTGGTACGATAGGTTCCTTTGCTTCAGCCACCTAATTTTTTCTTTTCTCTCATCATTCATGCCACAGCACCAAGTCCTGCCAATGTCACCTCCTGCCTGGATATAACTCTCTAACTCATCTTGACATACTCTTCTCAAACGCATCTTCTTCCACACAGCTGACCCCCCAATGGCTTCCACAGTCCTCAGGGAACAGTGCAAGCTCCTTATAGCGAGGATCACAAGAACTTTCATAATGTAACACTCCCCACCTGCATGTAACACTTCCGTGCCTACTCCCCACAACCCTTATAGGCTTCAGCACCCTGCCTTGGCTCATGCCACCATCCAGCCCCCCCCCCCCCCCCCCGAGCCAAGCATTCTCTTGGCAAATATTTACTGAGCACCCACTAGGTGCTGTGTGAGGACCTGGAGATTCGTTTGTCAACTTCACAGACATGGCATCCCCTACTCTCGTGAAGCTGAAGTGTCAGAGGGAGGGACAAGACCAACATCAACACATAAAGAAACGCATACTTTTGACAGCAGCCAAGGAACAGTAGACTGATGGAGAAAAGGGTGCCCACTTCAGCTTGGTGTCAAAAATGTGGCACATTTGAGAACACAGAAGGCTGAGTGAGGGAGAGAAGAACAGCATAGGACTGGAGAGAGTGGCAGGGGTCTGGTCACTCAGGGGCTAGCAAGACCATATCCTACAGGCTGGATTTTGTGCCAAATACAATGGCAAGGAACAACACAATCAACTTTGTTCTTTAAGAATGATTTTGTGTGGAGAAACCAAGATGGCGGCATAGGTAAACACCGGAGTTTGCTGCCTCGAACAACCATTTCAAAAATACAACTAAAAGACGGAACGGACATCACCCAGAACCACAGGAAGGCTGGCTGAGGAGGGACTCTTCAACTAGAAGGAAAAACAACAGCATTACGAGGCTTAGAGGAGGCGCAGTGTGGAAAATTTAAAGGTACGGTGTTGCGGCGATGCGCGCGCAAAGCGGGCTGGTGGCTGAGGGCGCGGTTGTCGTTTTCACTCAGGAGTGAGTCTCAGACTCTGGGCTACAGATCCGGGCGAGTCTCTAGGGACCCAGACTCAAACGGGAGAAGCGGGACTGTCTGGCTACGGCCCCTCCGAGGTTTGCAGCGATTGCTGGGACAGAGAGGCAGAGCCCTTGGGGACGGACTGAGAGCGGCCATAGCTGCTCCCTCCCCCCGCCCTGTTGAGCCCGCCCTGCCCAGGCACTGCGCACAGACATTTGCCGATCGCCTCAGGCAAGGGCAGGACTAGCGCCTCCCCAGAATCCTACAGCCAGTCGGTCTGCTGGTCAAATCCCTCTAGTGTTAACTACAACAATTAAGGCTTGGCTAGAACAAGACTGCGCACAGAGACCACAAGGGGGTGCACCAAGAAAGCATAAAAGATGCGGAGACAAAAAAACATGACAGAAATGGAGGATATGGAGCTAAGAATCGCAATTTTGAGGGCTTGCCATAAATTTGTGCAGAGCCTCACGAAAACTAATGAGACCCTCGATGCTACGATAAAGAAATTAGAAAGTAAGCATACACGGACTGAAATAAAGAATATTATACCCAATAGCAGACCAGACGAGTATAAGAATCAAACCAAAGATTCGACAAAAAACACCCAATTGGAAAAGCAAAATGAAAAAAGAATCCGAAAGTGTGAAGATAGTGTAAGGAGCCTCTGGGACAGCTACAAGCGTACCAACATCAGAATAATAGGAGTGCCAGAAGATGAGAGACAGCAAGATATTGAAAACCTATTTGAAGAAATAATGGCAGAGAACTTCCCCCACCTGGTGAAAGAAATGGACTTACAGGTCCAAGAAGCGCAGAGAACCCCAAACAAAAGGAATCCAAAGAGGACCACACCAAGATATATCATAATTAAAATGCCAAGAGCAAAAGACAAAGAGAGAATCTTAAAAGCAGCAAGAGAAAGAGACTCAATTACCTACAAGGGAATACCCATACGACTGTCAGCTGATTTCTCAACAGAAACTTTGCAGGCCAGAAGGGAATGGCAAGAAATATTCAAAGTGCTGAATACCAAGAACCTACAACCAAGACTACTTTATCCAGCAAAGCTATCATTCAGAATTGAAGGTCAGATAAAGAGCTTCACAGATAAGGAAAAGCTAAAGGAGTTCATCACCACCAAACCAGTATTATACGAAATACTGAAAGGTATCCTTTAAGAAGAGGAAGAAGAAAAAGGTAAAGATACAAATTGTGAACAACAAACATGCATCTATCAACAAGTGAATCTAAGAATCAAGTGAATAAATAATCTGATGTACAGAATGAACTGGTGATTATAATGAATCAGGGACATAGAAAGGGAATGGACTGACTATTCTTGGGGGGGAAAGGGAAATGGGAGATTCGGGAAGAGACTGGACAAAAATCGTGCACCTATGGATGAGGACAGTGGGTGGGGAGTGAGGGCGGAGGGTGGGGTGGGAACTGGAAGGAGGGGAGTTATGTGGGGGGGGAAGAGGAACAAATGTAATCTGAACAATAAAAATTTAATTAAAAAAATAAATAAATAAAATAACAAAAGAAAAAAAAAAAAAAAGAATGATTTTGTAACAATAAAACTGTGGTGGGTAGGAGGGAAGGTTGGTGAACTCTAAGAACACAGTTCCCATCATCCTTATAAGCAATGCTGGTGGCTGCAAGGAGGAAGGAGATGGAAGAGAAGCGATTGATCCTAAATTGGCAACACCTGGTGATAGACTAGATACACAGGATGGAGAGAAGGAAGGGAGGATCCCTGGCTTGTGCCCTACAGCCTGCCTTGTCCTCTATCAATTCCTGTGTACTTCTCTCAGGAAATGTCTTCCATCTCTGTATCTGTAGTACCTGACCAGGGCCTGGTACCTAATAACAGCCATCAATAGGTCTCTTGAAGAAATGAATATGTCAGGGAACTTTGTCCATTCTGTTGCCATGAGCAAAACTCCAAATATATGCTATATTCAGCATTAAGAAAACACAAATTCAGCACAAACTGAAATATGTCAGTTAACATGCTCTCACTGAAACCCAGTGCCACAGTTTCCTTCTTTTCCCTCAAAGAGAATTCCACAACCTTCTGTCCCATTAAAAAAAAGTAATTTGGGCCCTAACTAGTTTGGCTCAGTGGATAGAGCCTCGGCCTGCGGACTGAAAGGTTATATATATAAAGGGCATATACCTTGGTTGCAGGCACATCCCCAGTGGGGGGTGTGCAGGAGGCAGCTGATCAATGTTTCTCTCTCATTGATGTTTCTAACTCTCTATCCCTCTCCCTTCCTCTCTGTAAAAAATCAATAAAATACATTTAAAAAAAAGTAATTCGGTAACTTTCTAGTTTCATTCATGCTGGGTAAGAATCTAGAATTGACTGCATCATAGCAAGTGCTACAGGAAACCTAGGTTTCCTGGTTCAGTTAATTGGTTATTAATAAGCCAAAGAATAAAGAACAGCCCATTAAAATCACAAGGGGCCTGGCTGGGTAGCTCAGTTGGTTAGAGCACTGTTCTAATACACTATGGTTGGGGGTTCAATCCCTGGGCAGGGCACATACAAAAATCACTAATGAATGCCTGGCCCGCTGGTGTGGCTCAATCTATGAACAATGAGAAGTTCATGGGTTTGATTCCCGGTCACGGCATGTGCCTGGACTGCAGGCTCGATCCACAGTTGGGGGCTTGCAGGAAGCGGCAGATCAGTGATTCTCCCCATCATTAGTGTTTCTCTCCCTCTCCCTTCCTCTCTGAAATCAATAACAATATATTGGGGGGGGGGGGGATTAACCAATGAATGCATAAATAAGTAAACAACAGGTAGCTGTCTTCCCCCCAACCCCCCCTCCACTTTTCTCTCTCTCTAAAAGCAATAAATAATTTCTAAAAAAAAAAACAGGAAGTCTCACTATAATCCTGTTAGAAATAGCCAAGCCCAGGCCAGTGTGACTCAATTAGCTGGACATCATCCCATGCACAGAAAGACTGCTGGTTCAATTCCCAGCCAGGGCACATGCCCAGGTTTTAGGCTCAATCCCAAGTAGAGGGCATGCAAGAGGCAGCCGATCAATGTTTCACTCTCTTATCGATGTTCTTCTCTCCCTCTCCGTTCTTCTCTCTCTAAAAGTCAATAAAAAATCTTTTTTTTTAAAAATATATTTTATTGATTTTTTACAGAGAGGAAGGGAGAGAGAGAGAGAGTTAGAAACATCGATGAGAGAGAAACATCGATCAGCTGCCTCCTGCACATCTCCTACTGGGGATGTGCCCGCAACCCAGGTACATGCCCTTGACTGGAATCCAACCTGGGACCTTTCAGTCCGCAGGCCGACGCTCTATCCACTGAGCCAAACCGGTTTCGGCAAAAAATCTTTTTTTTTTTTTAAAGAAATATCCAAAAATATCTGCCTTTCCATCCAGTAAAAGGTCTGACTATCAGACTATTTTACACAGGCCTTTATCCCCAGCACCCTGACTCCCCCACACAGGGATCAGAGCCCATGGCCTGGCCTGGAGGCCCCACCTTCCTGTTTTAAGAATTAGGAGAGCTGACAGTTATAGCACATTCAATCTTCTCGGGCATATAGACAGAATTTACAACTTTTCTATTTGAGGGGAAATGAATCTGTAGCTACAAACTAAGGAATATTATTCAACTTTCTAATTAAAGCACTTAAAATCACCCCAAAAAAGCTTTGGATAAAAGCTTGGCTTTCAGTCTTTTTTTTCTTCCTATTAGAGATTAAAAGTGGTTGAATAGGGGAGATTTGTATTCATCTTGGTGTATGTGAACACTTCCTGGCTTCAGTGCCTCAGCCACAGAGAGTGAGCTGAGCTTTTCCTACCTCGATGCACTGCTTAATCCAAAAGTGGTTCCCCATGGCTTCCCAATTCTGGGAGCAGGTCACATAAAGCAGACGCTCGTAAACCCGACGTTTCATAGAGTTGTCAAAAACCTCGAAAAACTTCGCCCTGATGAGTGGCTGGGCACAACGCAGCCCAGAGAGAAAGGCAGGCTCGAGTTTTGCAGTCAGCTCACTGCCAGACAGTGCCTCGTCCCTGTGATCGAAAGAATAATACTAAGATGAAAGGGCTATACCCAAAGGTGAACGCCTCAAGCCATAAGCAAACAAGTGGGTACCAACTTCCCAAAATGCCTTTATGTAAAACAAGAGTATGCTACAAATCATCATAGACTGATGCAGCATTTGTGCAAAATGTTCAGTAATGATGCCAAAATATGTTACATGATTTAGAATTTAAATGAATATATCTTGGGTGTAACAAAAAAATTAAAATGTCATGTAATGTTGCTTAGTCAGAGAACACACTATAGATTGATACACAAAATATTTGATAATTGTTGTAATTACCTGTAGACATAGTTAACAAGGTCTAAGAACTGTGCGTTTAACTCAAGGTCTTCTGGAAAACGCTTTTCTATGTAGGTCATCATTTTCACAAGCAAAATGGACTTCTCCCGGAGAGTAGGTGTCTGTATGAATTTTTTAAAACAAAAGGTCAATTACTTCTATCTAAGAGAAAACATGTCCAGAAGTACTTCAGCCACCTGCTCTACCACTTTTTAAGCTCCTACAATTTTGTCAAGTAATTTAAGACAGTCATTTCTAAACAAACAAAAAATTATGCTTGAAATCAAGATGAGTGCCAATATAATTTTCCTAGGAACTACAGGTCACTTTGGAGAGAGAGCAATTAAATTGTAAAACTAATCAGAAGTTTGCAAGCATCCTATATAATAAAAGCCTAATATGCTAAGTGTCTGGTCATCTGTTCAACCAATCAAAGTGCAATATGCTAATGATGTGCTAAGGTCGCTCAACCACTCACTATGACGTGCACTGACCACCAGGGGGCAGACAGTCGACCGGTGGACCAGTCATTATGACGTGCACTGACCACCAAGGGGCAGATGCTCCAACAGGTAGGTTAGCTTGCTGCTGGAAGCCAGATGAGCCGGACACGCCATGGAACCCTCCCTTGGTCCCTCCCTGGCTGGCCAACCTCCCTCGTCCCTTCCCAGCCCCAATTGTGCACTGGTGAGGTTCCTTAGCCTGGCCTGCGCCCTCTCGCAATCTAGGACCACTCGGGGGATGTCAGAGAGCAGGTTTTGGCCCGATCCCACAGGCCAGACCAAGGCACCAGGCCTCTAGTCTTATTATATTAACTAATAATCCCTCATTTTTTTCTTCGCTTACCTTCATCATCATACAAAGACTAACAAGTAAGGTTCATTTAACATTTTAACAAGTAAAACCACATTAAGATAAGTGGTTTTGTCTCAAGTTTCTATTTAAAATCTGTTCAGCACAGTGAGAAAAACCATCTTTAAAAAAAGATACTGTGAATGCAAATACAGGAAAAAAAAGTTTTGCCTGATTGAAAACTTCCAGAAGAGCTGAGAAAGTGAGGCCTGAATTTTCTTTTACATATAAAGGTCACCTAGCCAACTTGCAGCCCTCTTCCCAGCTCACCTGATTGGCTGCCATTGGGGAATTATTTTTAACCCACTCTTCCACAATTTTAACCACAGCCCGGAGGATTTTGGCATCAAGTGATTTTTCAATGAGGGAGGTCAGGATGGCTTGAATAAAGTTCTTCCTCATCTCCAAGCTCATCACAGCCAGGCGTGTTTTCACCAGCTCCAGACTCAGCATCACCAGCTCACTAGTTCCTGCTCATGTGGAGAAAGAACACAGCTCAACAATTTCTACATGCATCAACAGGCAACCACTCTGCACTACATGGCACATTAATTCTGCCCATTTTTCCCAAAAATATTTTCTCCAGTCTCATCACTTTCTTGCTATTACACCACCTTGCAAGGGTGGCCCTGTAATAAGCTCCTCATGAGGAAGAAATGGAGCGGTTGGAACCAGTGCAGGTAACCCTGGGGTATAGCCAAGTCCCAAAGTCACATCCATAGCACTTGTGTTCCAAGCTGCATTGAGCAGCTGTGCCAACCAGCCCCCCGCCAAACATATCACCCAGATTTCTGGAGCCCACTCCTCAAATCTAGAACCTACAATCTAATTTGTCATCAGATGTAACAACTCTAAGCAATCTCTGCTTTATAGCAAAATGGTTAGATAACTCTCATTCAGTGGTGCATGTTCCACATAAATGACCAATCATTTAAAAATTTCTTCAGCCCTAGCCGGTTTGGCTCAGTGGATAGAACATCGGCCTGTGGACTGAAGAGTCTCAGGTTCGATTCCAGTCAAGGGCACATGTCCGGGTTGTGGACTCGATCCCTAGTCCTGGTTAGGGCTTGTGTGGGAGGCAACCAATTGAGGTTTCTCTCTCACATAGATATTTCTCCATCTCTCTCCCGACCTTCCACTCTCTCTAAAAGTCAACAGAAAAATATCCTGGGGTGCGGTTTAAAAACAAAAAAAAAGATAAAAATTTCTTTACTCTCACAATCACAAATTTTAAAAGCAATTCATTTTAAAAAGAAGTCTTATTTTGGTTTTAAATGAACCACTTAGAAACTCTTTGTTAAGAGCAACTAATAATAAATTGCCCATGAACAGCAGGCATTAGTGTTCACTTTAAAATTCAGTCACAGTCCGGTCGGTGTGGCTCAGTGGTTGAGTACTGACCCATGAACCAAGAGTTCACCAACTTGACTCCGGGTTAGGGCACATGCCCAGGTTGCAGGCTCGATCCCCAGTGGGGGAGCATGCAGGAAGCAGTCGATCGATGTTTCTTTCTCATCCATGTTTCTATCTCTCTATCACTCTCCCCACCTCCCTTCTCTCTAAAAATCAATGAATACATTGAAAAAAAAAAAAAAGAAACATAAAATTCATTGACAGAGGCAGCTCTGTTTAGTCTGAGGAAAAACTGGGGACCAAGTCAAGTGTGTCACCTGAGGTTGCCTCTGTGCTGCCGGAGGCTGCCTGCGGATTGAGGTGCTCTCGGACCATCTTCTGCAGGGAGCGCATGAAGACCGAGATCAGCCTGTCTATGTAGCTCGGGTTGTTGCTGCAGGCAGACTTGAGGATCATAAGGGTCCCTAAAAGGTAGAAATTCAATGTTTTTTTTAGGAAAGTTTTTAAAAGTAATTGTCAAAAAACAGAGTGAGTATTTATAAATTTGACTTCTGGGTGTCTGGAAGCCAACGTTACCCAGCTGCCCTGATCCAAGAAACCAACTTTCTTTTCACCTGGGGCAGCCAGAGCCTCACCAAGAAGTTGGGAAGGTGTTCTTGGCTTGTGAGTGGCTGACAGGTGACCACATCGTGAAAGGCAGTGATTCTACATACGGGTACACCGTTTTAGCAGCATCTCTACGCTTGGTGTAAAATGGGGCCAGGAGTATCCACGCAACCTGGGGCGATTCCCTTCGCATCTCATGATGAAGCGGAAGAAACAAGGAAGTGCTGGTGTTGGTTGGGGGGGGGGGGGGGCCGGTTCACCTCAAAGACCAATGGGGACCATGGCCTGGTATGCACCAGGCCACACACTGACACCCTCAAGGACCCCGGACGGCCTGAGCCTTTCCCTTCTAAGGAAAGCTTGTCCAGGGAGCATGAACAGAACAATGCCAAACTGAACCAGTGCAGGGAAAACCAAGCCTGGCGCTTACTCACCAAAGAGCTGGGAAGGATTCGCGTTGGTGGCCTTCTCATAGTTGGTGAGTCCTTCATAGATGACCTTCCCTACGGCCGCATAGAGGCATTCCAGCTCTTCGTACTTGGAGGCCACACTGGACGTGCCTGAAACAGAAGCCAGAACTGGGCTCTGTGGTTTGGGTTCTTAGGCCTGCCCAGGCCCTGGGACGTTAACGTCCCTCACTCTAAGGCTGAGCTTTAGTTATTTTGGCACCTGCGGCAACTTCTCTCCCACTGGTGCTCACCTCTGGGCAAGGTTCCTACTTTACAAAGCTGACAACCTTTTATCTCACCTCAACTCACTCTAAATATACTTAACAATATTTATTTTGTCAACTGTTCGCCGTTTGACAAAATATTTTCATCTAATTTCCCTTTAATAACTTACAGAATCAGCAATGCTCAGCTGATGAAGGACTGCATATCCAAAGCAGACAAAAAATAGGATGCAGTGACTACTGCTGTTAAGTTCTCATGTCAATTTTTTTTTAAAAGGTTGAAAATATAAAGAAAAGTGACATAATAAGATGCTCCATATAGTAACTGGAGGATGA